CTGCCCCCCCTGTTCCTACCCCTATGATGGTAAGGGAAAAGTGTGATAGAGTTTTCTTAGATTGTCGTAAGCTTGGTGGGAGTGGTATGGATTCCTTCTTTAAAAAATTGTCAAGTGCCTGTGAGTCCATTCGTAGTACAAGTGGAAGGAATTTGAGTCTTTATTGTCACATGATGTATGGTCTACTAGAGGAAAGAAAAGAGAATATACTGACCCTCTCTGATGTAATGTTGTGTGCTGGTAAGGACAATTATGTTAAACCAGATAAGAGAGAAGACGTCTTGGATGTTCTTCATTCGTTGCAGTCAACTGGTTTGATCAGTGTTCCTAAAAGTGAAGACAAGGTATGGGTTGTTGTGAATAAGGGTATACTACTAACTGAGGTGGATGGGATTCTCTTTGCTCCAGAGACATTCAAAGAACACGTTGACATTGCTAGCAATACTGGTATTGTTAGTGTGTCTGGTCTGACTAGACTCTTCACTAAATATGATCCTGACATGTTGATCTGTTTCCTAAAGAACATGGAGCTCTGTCAAGAAATGAATCCATCTTTCCTAAGAATGACAAACCTCCATCAGTTAGGAGTGGAAGAGGAGGAGGAGGGAGGGAGAGAAAAAAGAGGAGAAAGGTTGTTGTTCTTTCCATGTCTTTTGTCTACTGATAGACCTGATGAGATGACTACTCAAGTGTACCAGTTTGGTTGGTGTCTACAGTGTACTAGTAAACATCATTTCTTTCCTCCTCGATACTTCCACGTCCTCTCATTACATCTTGCTTTTAAGTTTTGTTTATCAAAAGGGAGCAAGGAATTCGCTGAAAAAGCAAGTCGTAAATGCAAATTTTGGAAGAATGGTCTTCACTGGTTTAATGGTCATGGTGTAGGATCACTGGTAGAGATTGTGGATGAGAGCCAGTGTGTACTAGTAATGATGTCCTTTGAGAAAGGTTGCAGTGACAATATGGTGTCTCTAAGAAGAGATGTGATAGGAGAGGTAATGAGTGTTTATAAAGAATCCTGTCCCAGTCTAGAGGTAAAAGAGTTAGTTATTGATCCTAAAGAACTAGCCTATCCTGTGAATACACCAAGAGAAAAGACAATTTATGACATTTGTGATTTACTATCAGCAATTAAGGAAGGAAGACCATTTCTTGTGAGCGATAAAGGACAAACAAGATTGAAGGAGATCCTAGGTGATGAATCATTATCAGATATTGGTAACCTGTCACTATTAGGAGGACGTGATATTAAGGTAAGAATTAACACACAAGCTGATTGATACATTAATACAAGCACTAATAATCAAAAGGTTAATTATGTTTTTGTTTCTTATCAAAACTACTCAGTCTTTGTCATAATTGTGGGTTGTCATTGTGTGGCTTTTACTACTAATAATATATACTTGTACATCTGTTAAACTCACCTTTCAGCAATACACTACTACTAGGGCTAAGCAAATTATGCCAGCATAATTTGGAGCATAATAAGACAAGTTATTATGCTGGCATAATTGGAGTGAGTCAAAATTTCTGGACCTATACCCCTGACCACAATATGGCAGGTGGTACAAGTACTAGTACAACAACCCGACTGCTTATTACCCACCTATGCAAGTATGGTGAGCCCAATGACTTAGACTATTCTATTTTCCAGTGACTCAAAATCACTGGAAACATTTTCAGATTCTGGCATTATTACAATTATAGCAGGTGCATGATCATGTAACTTGATAGTAGATATTTGAGTAAAGCTTCAACTATGAGCATATAATGAGCATAATTGGATTTATTTCAAAGCATAATAGGATGGAATTTAGGGCAGTCCCTAAAAGCATATTAGGCAAAAATTGAAGCATAATTTGCCAAGCTCTAACTACTACTGATGTATTACTACTGATACACTGCAAGCACAAAGACAAATATCAGTTATTGTAATTATTATTATTGTATAGGAAGTGATTGACATGACTGAAGAATTCAATACACCATTGACTCCAATAAAGCTAGGTATGTTATAATATGTACTATCACTATTGTCAAGTTGTGGGAGTGTAGACTGTACAGTGTATATACACATTATTAATTATTTTTATAGATATTAAAGATCTTGATATTGTCATTAAAGAATTAAAATCAGATCAACACTTGCCTTGTGCTATATGGCATGAACTAGGTCTACAGTTAGGATTATATGATCCTAGACTAGTGGATATAGACAAGAAGAATAGAGGAGATCCAGTGGAGTGTTTCCGTGAGTGTATGTCTGCCTGGTTAAGAGGAGAAGATAAAGTGAGAGAGAAAGGAGGTCCCAGTTGGTCATCATTAGCTACAGCTCTGGATACAATAGAACAGAAATCTATTGCTAGTTACATTAGAGATAAATATTGTACTTCATTGTAACAACAATATTAACATTAATCGATAAAAAGGAAAGTTTTATTATTATTATTTATTATTTAAGTTGTTTTAGTGACGTGTGTTGTTGCCTTCCCCAGTGCTACTTGTCTTGCATTCATTCCAAACTCCAGTGTACTGACAGTCTCTGGTACATTAGTATCCAATGGACTCACATTAACAAACATACACGCCTACAGTAACAACACACATACCAGTATCATTATATTATAGACTATGGAAGATCATCAATAAATGAAATTACTAAATAATGAGATTCATGACTGATCCCAATACTCATTACTCATGATGGATCAGTTAGTGTATACTAGTATTAGTGAGTGCATTGAGTTAACAGTTAGTGGAGTAGAGTAGAGTGTGTGTGGGTTTAATACTTTAGCATCTCCTCCTAGACACTGTTGGAGGAGGTGAGTCAGTTTTGAGTTTCTGAACGGAATGTGGAGTGAGTTCTCTCTTATTGAGGAAAATACCTGATGATGATGATGACGACGACGACGACGACGACGACGACGACGACGACGACGACGACGACGACGACGACGACGACGACGACGACGACGACGACGACGACGACGACGACGACGACGACGACGACGA